TAAAAGTAAAGGTTTAATTTAATTTTCTTTAACCGATTGTTAACGAAAATTAAATTAATTATCTTCTCAACTGTTAATTAAAATGCTTATTTCAGTAATTGAATATAAAAAAATCAAGAAAATCATTCTATTATTTTTAATAGCACAATACAATAAATTAAATTGCTAGTGATATATTTACAGAAAATTTATTGTTAAATGAAAGATTTACAAAATTTGAAGTGATGTGAAAATTTATAATAATAAAATGTATAAAATTATTTCTAAAATTTAAAAATTGCATAAGGTTTCGCATGTCTATTATTGCAAAGTAACGAAAGTTATAGTAGCAAAATGATGGAGGAAAAGAAAACGAAATTGTTTCCTTTGAGTCAGAGTAATAAATTGGGAATTTTTCGAAAAGCAAACAAGAATTTTTTGGCTATTTTTAAAAGAAATTAAAAAAATAGCATTACATTCGGAATTATCTTTATCCAGGACATAGTGCATTATCCTTCGATAGACTACTAAGAAGGGAGTGATTCTCTAATTTCATGCTTGCACAAGCATGAAGAAACTTCTTTTATGGGGAAACCTATGGCTTGTATAATAAGTTATTCGATTTTAAAAATTCTACTAAAGTAAAAAAATAATAATAATAAAAACAAAAATACCATTAAAAATTTTTTTTGAAAAAGTTTGATATGGACAATCTACAATTTTTATACAAACACAAAATAAACAAAATCGAACCAATTATTTTTTTGTTATATTTTTGAATAATATATCAAAATCAATCTTTTGAATGATTGGTCGATGCTTTTATCCATAACATATACAACCGGTTATCGATTTTCTTGTTCTTTTATGGTTGACAACCGAATCTATATTGGGAGAGAAGCAAAGCAAAATGCATTTCTTAAGTTGAGGTGACAGTTTTTCTTATAAGCTCCGAAGATATGATCGTCAGGCCTTAACTGTTTCGTATTATCGTAGAAAATTTCATCCAGTATCTGTTTTATGTTTACGTTAAAAGTTATGAAATGCGTCTTCAATTTTTATCTAGATTTACCTTTGCAAAGGTTTATGTAATGTATTCTTTATCCTATAATATAAGAATAAATGCTTCCGAATGCATAGTGGAAAACGATTCTTGTTTATATGCAATCTTAATTCGATTAAAAATGGTTGATAATTTTTTAAAATAGATTATTAATTAACAAGGTAAAATTGAGATAATTTTATACTAATTATAATATCAAAGAATGGCTTAATCTAATATTTATACGAGCTATTGTTTATATCTAAATCATTTTATTAAATAATGATAAAATAACATACATTTAAAGAATACTTTAAGTTAAAATATATTATTTTTTAACTTACAGTATTCTTTGTTATGTTGAAAGTATAAATCCTATAAGTCCTATAGTTATGCTGAAAGTTCTATAAATCAGAGATATTAAAATTCTGCAGGACATTTCTAAGATATTGAAAGTACTGTACAGTACATTTAGGTTTTGACAGAAGAGTTATTTTTACAATATAAAAATTGCCATTTTGAAAATTTCGAGTTATTTTAAAACAATTTTAAGGTCAAGATTCGCGTAGGAATAAATAAATAACATAGATTTAGGTTTTAAAAATTGTCTTCGCTTAACTTTCCTGTCCTTAAAAGTAGCTTTTCTGTAGAAAACCAAAAGACTTTACATGACTTCCCACTAAATTTAGTCTTCGAGGAACCGTGAAAATCTACAATGGAAAAGTTTCTGTGGATATTCAAGGTCTCAAGTGTACAGTACTTCTCTGCACGAATGGCTTGAGATCAAATCATTTTCTATGCTAACAAATAATTTAATACTAAATAAATATTCGATTTAAACAAGTTGTTATAAAGAATAGAAAAATATTTTATGTATCAATAAAAATTAATAATAAATTTGATAATTATTTATAACATTGTTAACATTTATAACGTGCTCCTTTTTCTGTATTATAATGAATCTTATATCTTATTAAATTTAATTATTTTCCTTTAAATACCGAAAAATATTTTATAGAAAATTTCATACTCAAGTTTTTTCAGTAAAAAAATATTTTATATAGTGATGAAATACACGTTAGAAGATGTTTACATTTTAAATATTTAGAAAACTGAAATATATATTTGCCAAAAAGTTATTTTCGTTTCTCTAAAATACTAATTATAATCAAGGGCAAATGTTTTTTTATTTATATATTATATATATTTATTTATTTTATAAAAAGAAAATATTTTCTTCTTCAGAGTTATAAATATATTTATATAGCTGTAAACCTACGTATACAAACCCTTCGAGGGTAAATGTGATATATGAAAAGCATTAAAAGAAATTGTAAAGTAACTTGGAGAATCTGAAAACAACCTTAAAGGAAAATATAAAAATCATCTGATATCTTAAACATATCTAAAACAAATAAATTTAGTAAATATCGATAAATTACGAATAAGATTAATTTTAATAAGTTATAAGAATTTTTTTAAAGTAAAGATGATTGAAAAATGCACTAATAGAAATTTATAAAAATATCGCATGTAACATTTTTTTATATAAAATTATATATAAAAATTTACATAATTAGTTAAAATTCAGGCCGAATAAAACCATGTAATGATATGAAAAAAATAATACAATGAATTATAATGAAAAATAATTATAGTTTATTTTTTTAAAAATAAAAATTGTTTTTAAAAAAGCTTCAATCATACAAAAAAATTAAAGAGCAAATTAAAAAAATTAAAATTTTTAACATTTCAAAAACTTCTTGTATTTAACTCTTTTCTTCATATTTTGTAAGCATTAATTGAAAAAATTCTCATTAGAATTTTTATTTTTAAATTGAAAAGTACGTAAACGTTATACAGACTTACATAAAAGTTTTGTATATAAGAACATATATAAGTTTTTGTGTTGTCGTGTCTACACAAAAATTACAATAGCCAAGATAATAGAAAACGGACATAATAAAGCATCGCTATAGCGCTTTCTAAACGAGAATAGAAGTTCCATTGAACCATTATTGACTTCTCACAAAATTTTTCTTTCTTTACCAAGTAACACCGAAGAAAATGTTATCGATGACCAATCGAACAGATAACGGACAGAATGGGTATTGACATTGTCCATTTTTAATTAATTTACTTAGACCCATTGTTGATCCCGGATCAAAAATTTTGGCTTAGCTTCAATTTGACTCAAATTTGTAATAAATGACAACCACATACTAAGTTAAAGAAGTAGTAAAAATTTACTAGATGGCAATAAGACTTAATATTAAAAAATATAAAAAAATATTAATATGTTTTAATAATTTTATATAAAAAGAATTAAATTGTATATTGAATTAAATTAGATAAGACTACGATCGTTCTTAAAATACATTTAGTTGATTATTTTGTTGAATATATAAAAGAATTTCGATAAAAACAGATGAAAAACTATACAAGAACATAAAAAAATAGGGTTTTAAAACTGTTCACGACACATCTACTTGGAATATCGAACGACAAAAGAAACCTAGAATGGAATTTAATGAAGGAAGTTCTCTATATGGAAATCTACTTAATAGAGAAATCAGAAAATTCTGGTAATTCTATTTACTACCCGCATTAGCATATGTTTACCCAAATCCCTTTTCAAATCTTCTTATTTGTTCGATTGTAACATAAAGTTTTTTCCCTTCATTTTTTTCTAAATTTACTTGTATCTATTGATTTAAATATCTAATTTAAGAAATCATTAAAATTATGTTTCCGTTCGTTAAAGCTCAGATACTTAGTTTCGTTTATGCATTATGCACAGACAAACAGACAAATAAATCCAATCAAAAGTAAAGGAGCGAACAGATTTAATTGGGAATTCTGTACGGATTTTAGTTGTTTGTAAGCTTTATTATAAAGAATTTATTTGAAGTAATATATATATATAAGAAAAAGAAAGAACAGGAAAATATGTGAAATAAGAACATGTTGCTGTCAATCGATCTTGGTCGAAGATGTATGTTGTGTGTTCAAAATGATTTCAAGCATCTTATTTAGGCTCGGATTTCATTTCTTTTCTTTTTTCCCATCCTTAACTGTCATCTGATAACATCCAAAACCGAGAAAAATTGTAAACTTCAAAAGAATTTCTTCCAAGCATTTTAGCTGTTTTACGTAAGCTAATCTTACAAATTTGCAATTTTTTCCTGAAAATATTTTAATTGGAATTTAAAAAAAAACAAACGTTTAAATTTATAAAATTTAGTTTTTCGACAATTTTATTTAAAATTTAAATTATTAAAGGCAATATTTCGCTTAGTTTAAAAAACATTAAAAGAAAAATATCGAAGTTTAATAATTAAAAGTAGAAAAATTGATAAATTTTTATATATAAAATGTTAATAAAATAATAAATAATTTTTTGAGATTTTTAATAAAAAAACTTAAAAATTTTGTATTGAAGGGAATTATTAAGCTAAGTATTTTATAATGTATTAGCACTTGTTTACATTAATGAATAAGTTCACAAATAAGCTATTCATTAACCAAAAATAATGTTATTTATCAAAGAATAATTGTCAATTTGTAATTGCTCATTATTTTTTAATAATTATTTCCGTTTATATAAAAAACAACATTGTAGACTTGTTAGTTGTATTAAGTACCGTAAACAGTAAATTCTATTTAATTAGAATTAGAATTATAGATCTTAAATCTATAAATTAAAATACGATTAAAATTATTTAAATTTCAAATTATAAATAAAATATTATTTTATATTTAACTTTCGTCGAAATTGCAATTAAAAAATAGTAATTACATTTTAATCAAATATTCTATTTCTATCTCTATTATCTCTATTAAAATCTAACTATTTATTAATTACGAAAAATGATGAAGATAAATATAATTAAATATTTAATTGGAATTAATTAGGGTTAATAACCTTTAATTTTAACTATGATTAAGAAATATTTTTTAAATGAAAGAATTTCCAAACCTAAGACATCCTGGCTACTGAAAGATGTAGTTTGAAACGGGCCATCATAACCTGTTAAAATTTATATGTTATAAAACTGATCAAATTTAAAATAAATTATTATATAAAAAGACAATATGATATTTACAACTAATCCGACTAACGGCATCATCTGCCATTAATGGTTTTATGTCTTCCTTTTCTTCCTCATAATTTATTTTAGGATGACACGATGTCGGTGTCTTTTTTGTATGTTTCTTCACTTTATTTTGCTGTCCTTTCTTCTGATCTGCTACTTGTTTCTATTGAAAAAATATATAAATGTTTATATATTTAATTTTCGTTTCTGTTTTAATAAATTACAACGTACTGTACGTTTATTGAAACTTTTCATTTATTAAAAGTAAAAAGAAACCGGCTTGCTTTAATTCATTAAAAATTCGTTTTTTTTATATTTGGCAATGTTTATTAATTTAAAATTTCTTTAAACTTAATTCTGTTATCGAAACTTACATCAAAATTGAACGAGTTCTTACACAATTAAGTATCTAAATATTGTAAATGAAGTATTTAATGAATGAAATATTTACATTGTCTGTTTCATTTTAAACAAATATATGCTTAAAAATTAACTGATAAGAGTTGTAAAGCTGGTTGTTTTGTTTAAATTGTAAATTTCTCTTCTTTTCTTTATTACATAATTATCTTCTTACTTGTTACTTTTCTATTAGTTGCAAAATTAAGCAGCACATTTTTAGATAATTGAATATTCAGATTTAAGTAGATATAAACTGATTAATTTTATTTTTAAAGCAACTATATTATATAATTAAGCAACCTCTTTACTATTAATTCTTTAAGTTAAGCAATTGAATCTATTCTATTTTCTTCTAATACTTCGCTAGATAATTAAGCTCTATTCTTAATAATAGTTTAGCAGTTTACATAATTAAAGTCGTTTCTTACTTTAATTTAGTAAGTTACACAATTAAACATTTTTGCTGTTAATTCAGTATAGTCTATTTTGGAAATGGGTCCTTTATTTTTTAATTTAGTTCACTAGGTTACTCCATTAGTCCACTAAATTTTTCTTTTATGTTAGTTTGGAAATTAACTTCTTTTCTTATCGTTAGATCTTTTATCCTGAATTTGTTTACTATGAAAGTCGCAAGTTTGCTACTTTTGTCTTAAGCAGCAATTACTATGTATTGTGTCACAAGTAATTCGAGATTCATTAATAACAAAAACAGTTTATAATAATAATTATTATTATTTATATAAAATTAACAAGGAAAAATTCAATTACAAAACTATCAAGTTTCACAAATTAACAAAATTATTTTCTAGTTAGATACTCTCAATTGAAATTAATTGCATTCTTTACATTTACAATTCTTTTTACAGTTAATAGTAAATACTCTAAAGATATTATTTACATTAAATAAATAACATCGTGAACTCAATTTTTCTAAGGAACTGAAATGTGGAATTTAAGCTGAATGATGCATTTAATCTATTTATTTTATTGAGAGTTTTAAAACAAAAATGATCATCTTCTTATACTTATATAGTCCTTTAGAAAGAGAGAGGAAAAACTATCACTTTTATGCTTATCAATTATATAACACTTTATTTGTTTATCGTTTACATTATAAAATTATATATATTTATCTTCACAAGAATTATAGATTACTCAATATATCTATAAAACTGACAATTATAATATTGTAAATTCTTATTGTACTGTACTGTACAGCTATTATATTCGAGTATATATGCAAATATACATATAATTGATATATAAAGTATTATGTATATTTTTCATTTATGTATTATTCAAATTTCTCTCCTTACGTCTCACTGTACTTATTATACAGTATATACGCGAATGTTAGTAAAGAGGGAGGGAGAGACAGAAACAAAATATTCAACTATATATAAAGAGAAACTCTAGAAAGAAAAACGTTTTTTAAAATGACATTTATTGCCAAGTCAAATAAATTGAGCATCAATTTGTAAGCTGACTTTCAGTAGTTTTCATTGTTTTACTGCTTGACTCTTTTGATCTCAGCACGTCTCATCAAGAACAATAATGACCGTTTATGTGGCCATACACTTCATTGACCTGGGTTCATTATTGCCAGGATAAGAAATGTCGATAGCTTTAGCTATAATTTTTAAAACTCTTCTTTATCTTTTCTTAAAGACTTCTAAGGGTTGCAAGTTTTATTTAATTTCCACTATCACAAAATTGAATTGATTAGATAGGAATTAATCACCGCGTTAGATTAAATCTACAAGCAATAATATATTTTTATAAACGTTTAGATATATCGATGTTATTTGTATAAGTTAATCTACAAAATAACAAAAACTTTTGTGTTGTGAAGGAACCATTATCTAATTTTTCTCTTAATTTTCTTATTTAAAGATAGGTAAATAAAGGAATTTGAAAAACAAGAATAAGATAACTTATTAAATAAAGTACAGCACATTATGATCAATACATTAATTTAATATGTACAGTTTAGATTAAATAATCGAAACTACAGCCGATTTGAGTTTCTAAAGATAACATTTCTCGTTAGAAGTTTTATGAGATTTAGTTGAAATTTAATTTAGAAAATCCTATGAAATTTTCTTCCAGAAATTTTATCTAGAAAGTTTCGTAGAAGTTTCATTTAAATTATGTACGAAAGTTACATTTTGGATATTACGAAAATACATTTAAAATACTTTAATTTTAAAAATGAAAAATAAAATAAAATTACTGTCTTCTCGTTTATTTATTTTTATAATAAGTTATATAGAGAAGAAATCTTATTTTTAATATAAAAATCGATAAAATAACATTGAATAGAATGCACGTTTCAACTTTTCAGGAGATGATTTGGCTAATTTCAAACTTTTGTAACTTATATTGGGCTAAATTCCTGTGTCTGCTTCACTAGTTTAATATATCTATAACCTTTAAAAATTTAAATTATTCAGATAAATGACATTTCATGTAATATCTATTACTGTTCATCTAATCATTTGAAAATCGGAAAGAATGTGGTTGGTATTACTTAATGTTAGAGGAAAGTTGCAATTGTCGAATCAGAGCGATTGATGAACTTTTGCGATTTCTCATGAACTGTTGACAGAGAAGGCTGAATGATGAATTGGGCAACTTTAAAGCACATAACGTTTCACTCAGAAGTTTGAATTAAAAAGAAATTTTCATGGAAATTACGTTTGCGTGTGCGAGTTTTCGCTCTTATTTTAACTTTCTAAAACTGTTTTTATGTTATATTAGGAGAGCAGTAAAGTTTTACTATTATATTGTAATTCATTATATTTTAATTTTCTGTGTGTATTTAATGAGAATTAATGGCTGGATAATTAAAAATAACAGATTTGTCATTCATGGATGGACACGTGTGCAGCTATCAATGCATCACTATCAATGCACCATTGATTTATTTTTAAATATAAATTTAAGTAAATATAAAAACACAAAAGCAACTGAAATTATCTTCATTATATATTTTATGGAAATAACGCAAATTGAAACTTTTATTTAAAAAAAATTAGATGTTTCGATCATTGCAGGGGGGAACCGTGAATTTCCTTAGCTCGTGTCCAATAGCCTACAATAAAAGCTCTCAGTTCGGTAGTTAGAATTGGCTTTCTTCTTTTTTTACAGAATGCCGAAAGGTGTGAAATGTGGTAAATGATGAAAATTGAACATACTGAAAGGACTCTTGCTGCAGTTCGAAATAGAGACCTGATTTAAATTCTGCCGTTCACCAATATTCCCTGCCGAAAGCATCGAGACTGCCGATTCTGGAATGAAACGAGAAAATCTCCAAAAGTAACAGAACTAACCGCATCTACTCGCAAGATAAAGTTTGAAAATTCCTAAATAAAGCACATTTCCAGAGCAAAGAACACGAAAAATAAAAGACAGAAAAAGCCTTTAGTCAGCAGACTATTGGTATTGCTTTCTGTGCCGAGAAGAATACGAAGAAAACATGATCCAGAGTTTGAGTTGTAAAAAAATGGATTGACGAAAAATGCTCGGGCATTATCAAAGCAAGATTTGTTTACTTTTTTGTAGTTGCACTTTATAAATGACATTTGGAACTTATGTAATGTTCAAACGAATAGAATTAAACATGTTTTCTAGTTACTACTGTTTTGCACTTGGTTCATTAATAGAAAACCTGGTCCATTCAATGAACCACTGATTCATGTATCGAAACTTTTGAAAAGTGATTAAATTTGATTTTATAACAAAACTGTTTTTAAAAATTGTTCTTTCAAACGCCATAACCGTGTATTTCTACTAATAGGACTTATTATACTGGTGTATAGAATTATAGCAACACAGTCACACAGATTAAAATTGGTTTATTTATGATTACCTGGACACATACAATCTGCGTTTCGGACTTGTATGTCCCTCATCAGCAGGTATTTAATAACCAAATTATTTCTTTTCGTTGTTCTTCACTTTCACTCTATTAGTAGAAATACACGGTTATGGTGTTTGAAAGAACAATTTGATTAAATTAGGACATTAATGCAGATTAATTAACAAAACTATTTTTAGTTGATATCTAATATTGTACTGAGATGTAAAGAATTGTACAAGGAAAATTTTTAATATTTTATACAACGTGTTAGTTTCAATTTATGAAGGAAAATGCATAGATGGCTATAAATAGAATTTCCCGTATAAACATACTGTATTTTAGAAAAAACAATATCATTGTGATTATTCTTGTCGTATGTTTGTATTTACATATCTATGTATATGTATGTATTCATATATTTATGTGAGTGTGTATACAGTATATATATACAGTCGACCCCCCATAACACGGGTTCCTATAGTTCGGATTCCTATATCACGGCGAAAAAATTGCGACAGTATTCGTACAAACATGCTAAAAAAACTCGTATAATTCGGTAAAACGTCATCGCCGACGCGTGTCGCGACAGGATTAGTCGAATCTAGACCAATAGCGGATATTGTACAAACCATTGAGTTTAAACGAGCAGCGGACCTACTGAAAACCATTTATTATTTAATGTCCATAAAAATTATATTTATATTAACGATGTCTCCAAATTTCAGCGAATTTTTCGCAAAAAAATAATAATTTATCAGGAAGCATGCGAGCGCCATTCGATGGCAAGCTCCACGACGAAAACAAGCTTAAACAATGGCGTAGTCGAACGGTGCACACTCGGTAAGTAATCCTACAATTTTTTGTTTATAGCATAGTTTATATGGATTATTCCCAAAAAATTA